AAAGAAAAAGAAAAAAGAGTTTGAGAGCTTCAGGAGTTCAAGGCTGCAATGAGCTCTGATCATGCCAGCCTGAGCAAAAAGAAAGAAAAAGAAAAAAGAGTTTGAGAGCTTCAGGAGTTCAAGGCTGCAATGAGCTCTGATCATGCCAGCCTGAGCAACGAGGGAGACCTTGTTCCTGAAAAAAAAAAAAAGGATTTGGGAGCTTTAGAGAATAGAGAAGTATGTAACTTATGCTACAGCTTAAACAATGGTCTCAATAAATCAAAAAATAAATTTTACAAGTTCAACAATAATCATAAAAAATACTTTGTGTTTATTTGTGAAATGGAGTTAAATGCTACCATTAGTACGCCCTGGCTAAGGGCGGACTTGAAGGTCTCCCAGGAAATTTGATGATCACGCCGGCGGACACGTTTCCCACTCTCCACCAGGGGGCGGTGCGGCGCACTCCCCGCCGCTTGAGACAAACGGGCATGCATATTAATTCAACAAACCTGAAACCATGAGAACCTACTTTGTGCGGGGCCTCCTTCTAGTTTCCCGATCTGTGAAATGAGAATTAGAATGTCCCTGCCGCCATGGAGCTCACTTTCTCCAGAAGACAGACAACAAACAGCTAAACGAAGGAATAGGTAGAGACCAGGCAAGGCGGTTCAGGCCTGTAGTCCCAGCACTTCGGGAGGCTGAGGCCAGAAGATCCCTTGAGGCCAGGAATTCGAGACCAGACCGGGTAACATAATGAGACCCCCCCATCTCTACAAAAAAATTTAAAATTAGCCAGGCGTGATGGTGTGCACCTGTGCTTCCAGGTACTTGGGAGGCTGGGGAAGGAGGATCATTTGATGCCGCAGAATTTGGAAACACCTGGGCAACATAGTAAGACCCCCCTCCTAGAAAATAATACATAAGAATAAAATTTGTAAAAAAAAATTAAAAAAAGGGCCTGGGTATGGTACTCCCGCCTGTAATACCCTAGGCACTCTGGAAAGCGCTGATCACTTACAGCTAGGAATTCGAGACCCAGCCTGATGAATGTCGAGACACCGTCTCGTACTTAAAATACAAAACATTAAAAGCCCGCGTGCGGTGGCTTCATCCTGTAAGCCAGGCACTTTGAGCTTGAGGAGGGGTGTCGATCACGAGGTCGAGGACCGAGAGCCATCCTGGCTAATGCATGAAACCTACCGTCTCTACTGAAAAAAACAAAACAAATAGCCGAGACGCAGCGGCGGGTGCCTGGTATCACAACTACGCGACGAGGCTGAGGAAAAGAGAAAGAATGCATGAAACCTCGAGAGGCAGGCCTGAGTGGACCGAGATCGCCCTGCAACTCCAGGCTGGGCGACAGACGACGGACTCCCGTCTCAAAAAAAAATAAAGAAAAAAATTCAGTCAAGGGCATAGGTGGCACACACCTGTGGCACCAGCTACCCGGACGGCGCTGAGGGGGAGATCAAACTCCGAGCCCAGGAGGTTTGACTACAAGTGAGGCTGTGGATGACATGACTGCCTGCCCCAGCTGCAACAGAGGCAAGACACTGCTTAAAAAAATAAAGCCATGCATGACGTGTCTCATGCATAAACCAGCAACTTGGGGGATCGGAGTCAGGAGACACCTGAGCCCAGGAGTTATAGACGGCAGGCCTGCGCACCAAAAATGAAGGAGACCCTCCATCTCTAATCAAAAAATAAAAATAACGGCCATCGGGGTGGTACGCACCAGAAGTAGTCCCAGCGCAATTCAGAGGCTAGCCGAGGTGGATGGATTGTTAGGTCTGGGAGGGGGTGGGAAGGGGGCCATGGGAGGCCATGGTCACACACCCACTGCACTCTACCTAGGGTGACAGAGCTGTAGAACCCGCTGCAAAAAAATAAAAAAATCCAGGCCGGTGCTCAGGCCCCTGTGGGTAAACTCCGCAGCACTTTGGGAAGGCCAAGGTGGGTGATCTATGAGTCAGGAGTATGAGAGCCAGCCTGACCAACATGGTGAAACCCCATCTCTACTAAAAATACAAAAATTAGTGGGGCTTGGTGGTGTGTGCCTGTAATCCCAGCTACTCAAGAGGCTGAGGCAGGAGAATTGCTTGAACTCAGGAGGCAGAGGTTGCACTGAGCTGAGATCATGCCACTGTACTCCAGCCTGGGCGACAGAGCAAGACTCTGTCTCAAACAAACAAACTATATGTATATATATCTTGAATCCTACTACAGCTCTCATCTCCACTTCCTGGATCTATGGATGGTCATAAGGATGTAACCAGGTCATGCATGTAAAGCTCTGAATTGGCACAGAGCCCAGCACACAGTAGGTGAACTGACAGAGCTGCCATGATGATGATGATGATGATGACAATTGGTCTCTCAGATCCTTCATCCTTCCGGCTGCCCCCTAAACTCCTCTCTGTCCCTGACATCCACATCCACTACTTCAGCCAATCCCACCAGCTCGCTCTTTCTTCTTTCTTTCTCTTTTCTTTTCCTTTCCTTTCCCTTTCCCTTTTCCTTTCCCTTTCCCTCTTTCTCTCTTTCTTTTTCTTTCTTTCCTCTCTTTCTTTCCCTCCCTTCTTTCCTTCCTTTCCTTTCTTCCTTCCTTCCTTTCCTTCTTTCCTTCTCTCCTTCCTTCCTTCCTTCCTTTCCTTTCCTTCCTTCCTTCCTTCCTTCCCTTCCTTCCTTCCTTGACAGTGTCTCGTTCTGTTGCCTAGGTTGGAGTGCAATGGCATGATCTTGGCTCACTGCAACCTCCACCTTCCAGGTTCAAGCCTTTCTCCTTCCTCAGCCTCCCGAGTAGCTGGAATTACAGGCATGCACCACCACACCCAGCTACTTTTTGTATTTTTGGTAGAGATGGGGTTTCACCATATTAGCCAGGCTGGCCTCAAACTCCTGGCCGCAAATGATCCTCCTGCATCGGCCTCCCAAAGTGCTGGAATTACAGATGTGAGCCACTGCGCCCAGCCGCAAATAGCACTTTTTCAAAGACATCATCCAACACTCCTGATGGCCCTTCCCTGCTTCCTTTTTCTACTTGAAGTTTCACTTTGTATTGTAACTATTTCTTGAATGTCTATCTGCCACAGACCAGAGTGTCCCTCCCATGAAGGCAGGATTTGTATCCGTTTTGCTCACAGCTGCATCCCCATGCCTACAACTGCACCAGTGCCTGGCACAGGGGAGACACTCAGTTGTAATTGCTGAGTGAGTGGATATAAGAATAAATGGGGCCAGGCATGGTGGCTCACGCCTATAATCCCAGCACTTTGGGAGGCCGAGGCGGGTGGATCACAAGGTCAAGAGATCGACACCATCCTGGCCAACATGGTGAAACCCCGTCTCTACTACAAATACAAAAATTAGCCGGGCATGGTGGCGGGCGACTGTAGTCCCAGCTACTCAGGAGGCTGAGGCAGGAGAATGGCTTGAATCCGGGAGGCGGAGGTTGCAGTGAGCCGAGATCCCGCCACTGCACTCCAGCCTGAGCGACAGGGCAAGACTCCGTTTCGATAGATAGATAGATAGATAGATAGATATAGATATAGATATAGATATAGATATAGATATAGATATAGATATAGATATAGATATAGATGTATGTATATTCCATCTCCCCTGGTGGTTGTGAGGATGAATTGGGTTTGGATTTGCAGGCTTCCTGAGGTAGCGACATCGTCGATGCAAAGGTGGGCTTTTTGCGCGGCGCCTGTGCTTCCGCCTTCTGCCGCTCGGGGGCAGCAGGCGCCCGGCGGATTCGCCCGCGCGGCCGCACCGGGAAAGGAGCGGGGGCAAGTCCTCAGGAGGAAGCTGATGAAATCCTGGCCAACTCGCAGTGAGCTCATCCCGCCCGGGCGCCTCCGGAAGCCACGGGGCCGCCCGGCCTCCGCCTGGCCCGAGCGATAAAGCTCTCGTGCCGAACCAGGGCGGGAAGTCCTTCCTGAAGTCTGCCCTGCGTGGGGCCTGCTGCCAGAAGCCTGGGCCGGAGGGGAGGGGAGAGGACAAAGTAGCGAATGGTCCCCTGGCTGTCTTAGAAGGATGAAAAGTGAATTCTGAGCCTGGCTGTGGGAGTAAGAAAAAGGGCATTGGGGGAGGGAGAGCGGGGCGGAAGAGACAGAGACAAGAGATGGGAGAGACGATGGGAAGAAGAGGCAAAGGTGGGGAGACTGAGGCAGAGGAGGAAGAGAGAGAGACAGAATCAAGGAGGGACAGCTGAGAAAGTCAGATGGAGCGACAGAGACAGGGAGAGGGGAGACAGAGACAGGGAGAGACAGAGATGGCAGAGAAAAGGAGAGACAGAGATAGGGAGAGACAAAGATGGAGGAGACAGGGAGCTACAGAGGTGGCAGAGACAGAGACAGGGAGAGACAGATGATGGAGACATAGACAGGGAGAGACAGAGATGATAGAGACAGAGATGGCAGAGACAGAGAGGGAGATAGGGAGAGACAGAGATGGTAGAGACAGAGACAGGGAGAGACAGATGGCAGAGATAGAGACAGAGATGATGGAGACAGATGGTGGAGACAGAAGTGGCAGAGA